GAAGATTTTAGATGATTTCCAAGATTAAGGCAAATGAGATGAAGGGTCTGAAAGATATTACAAAAGAAGCATACCAGGACTGTTTCAACAAGTGAAAACACCGTTGGGATAAGTGTGTGCGTTGGGAAGGAGAGTACTTTGAAGGGGACCCAGACATGTAACTTCTACATAAAGCACATTTTGTTTTATGACGTCAGTCCGTGTATTTTTTGAACAGACCTCGTATACAGTAAAACCTCACTTATTGGTCACCTTTCAGGTATACAATTTCTAACCATATAATTGACGTGGTCACCTAGGTGAGGTTATAAAAATTGACATACCAGAACTGTAATTAGCATACTTAATACTGATTATAAAATTTTAGTACTGATTATAAAAGTAAACAAAAATAGTTATAATAATTTCATCAGGCTTGTTCATATTTTTCTTTATTGAGTATTGCAAGTGACATATTAGTGATATAAATGGATCATCACTGATTTACATAGTTATATGTTTACAAAATACAATCAGATTTTGTATAAAATTTTTAAACAAATATGTAATTGTTTTTCTTCTTACTAAATTATGGAGATTAATTTGTCAAGTGTAAATGAAGATTTATTTTATTTAATCATCTGTTGAAAGAATCTCAACAAACTGTTTCAAAACTATAGTAACAATGCACAACTAGATTTGATCCCAGGTACTCCAGAGTAGTAGACTGCCAACTTAGCTGTCCAGCCATCTGTTGTCATATGAAGGTTATGTTCTGCAAAACTGCTGTGAATGTGGAAACTACAAATACAGAAAGGAAAAAATATTGGTTAAGTAGGGTTAAGGATTTGAAAAAAAAACATGTAATTAGAAGACAGGTCCATATGTTAATAAAAAGAAATTTGTGGTTTATTTTATTTCAAACCAAAAAATAAAAATGATTATTATAGTTTGCATAATCTTATTACTACTAAGAAAATTTTAAATTTTCATCTGCTTTGTCTTTGTCTGGAAACCATGCAATAGTTCTCAGTAATATGAAATAAATTCCTTAATTTTTCTCTTAAATTTAAGACTCATCTAAATTCATTACATTATGCAGAGCATTCCATTTGTTAAAATATTAAAGTTATATTCAGAAGTGTAATGACTAAACATAATTGATCTCTACTAGTACTTATAGTAAAATAATCAAACAAATGCTTTTCATGGATAATAAGATTATTCAAAGGGCATTCTCCTGTGACTGAATTTTAATCTAAATGCTTAAGACTTTTTTTTAGTTTTTTGATGGTCTGATACCTGATGATGATATTGTCGGGTTATTTTCCTTAATATATTTTATGGTAGATTTATTTTCATCAACGAGCTATGTAGGCAACCATAGCTGCTGATTCTCCTTCCTGAAAATAACTTACCATGCCAATTTTGTCTTTATGGAACATAACTTTATTTTGATATTTTGCCATTAAGTATTGTTATTTAGATGATATATTTTTTATCCTTACAAATCGATACACTAAAATTTATTTATAGAATACAATACTGACAATCCCAATGCACACTAAACTAAAATATAACATTTACTATATTTGCACAGATTAAGAGATATCCACTAGTGCTGTCTAATGGTGAACAATTTAAATTTCAGCAGAATAAGTTTAAGAAAAAATTATTTTATTGTATGTTTGTTTGTTATTTCATTATTTCTGTTAATCTCTGTAAAATATGTAAATTTTAGCTTTGTGAATATGGAAATGGTTGCAAATAGCAAACTGAATGTGTAAAATAAGTATTTTAAGAATGCACAAATGCTGCTTTTACTGTATTGAGATATCTTTCAAATTATTTATAAATGAAAATCTTATGCATTTGAAAATAATATTCTAATAATTCATATCTTGCTGTTATCAATAAAATTTGACAGTAGCAAGACATGCAATGTTTCTGGAGATTATTTGAGATATCTTTAACTGATTTTATACTAAGAAAATATATTAGATATTGACATGAAATATATGTTAACTGCACTGGCATAGATTCAGATATAATGATGTTGTTATAATCTGCACATCAATCAAGAACCTGTAGAAAATATGGAGAGAAATCATTCTCTCCATATTTTCATTCAATTATGCAAAATTTCATATTTTTACTTGTTATTTACAGTTTTACATTTATTGCTTAAAATTTGAGAGATAGTATCATTGATTAACAAGAAATTTCAAAGTTAAATTAGCAATAACATTTATTATTTTTAAGAGCTGTATTTGTTTTCATTCAAGTAATTTATTACAATATATTTTAATGTAGATAAAAGTTTTTCTTTTAACAAATATTTAATAATTCAATAAAATATTGTAATAATTTATTATTAAAGTAATAAGAAAAGGACACTTACATAAACAAATCCTTCTATTCATTAAATAAATAGAAATTGTTTAAAGGCTACTGTTTATATATATTTAGAATAATAATTTAATGTAAATAACTTATAAAATTGATTAATTTATTCTGTTAAGAATATTACTTAAATTTTTTTGTAAATTAAAAAAAATAGATGAAAATGATTTACTACTATTGGTAAACTTCACTATTATTGATAATAATCACAATACNTGTTTATATTCAAATAAGCAATAGTTAAACTTTATCTTTTAATAAATGAATTGTCTTAAAACATTAATGGGTACAAATAAATTGGACAAACAATATTTAAATGTAATTACTAAATTCAGAACTCTCAGCAAATGTAATATTATATAATATACAGTACCATTAAGTCGAACAGAATTATTAAATTTAGATCTATCTGTTTCTGATTATGAAATTCAACATTAATTTTAATAATTGTATGAAAGTTTTTAGTGATCCAAACATAGTTTTGACCAGTTTATCGCTTTTCTAGTTAAATATATAGGCTATATCATGAAACTATAATACTGTATAGCAAAAAGTTACTAAATAGACACATTAAATGTGCTAAATTATTGTTATAATTTGATATAAAACACAATTAACTAAGTTATAATATGTACTGTAATATTTGAATGATATTAATTTTCATAGCTTAACTAATGTACTAATATATATTGACATTTAATTGAAATATTTAATATATGTTATATGTACTGCAATGTTAACTGCAGAATTATGATTAACCATTTACAGACACTATGTGTAAATCTGTGTTATCTCCACTATTTTAAATTTTTCGATTGAATGACTAAATAATGTTTTATTGATTAAGTTTGTAAGATATTCAATTGAACCAAGTTTAAAATTAGAAAAATCTTTAATTCGATAAGTAATCAGTTATCTTGGATAGATTCTTCATCGATTGATATGCAAACGGAATGCAAATTTGAAGCATCCATATAACTTATTTAAATGATAAATATTTAATGTGAAATAGTAAATTTAAACAGTTTTCATAAATTTTTAAGTATTCTTTAATTTTAAAATTTTATTTAAACGTTTGAATATTAGATTTAATGGCAAAATATTTAAATTAATACTTCAATTCTGGTCCCCAATAAGTATGTATAGACAGGGTAAACATATGTTCTAATTTATGCCTGTAGTCCCATTCCTTTTAGCATTTGTTTCAGATTTTTATATTTTTTTCTAAAGTATTATTAACATACAAGAGTAAATTAAAATTATATAGGTCTATATTGTTTGCACTTTGATCAGCGGGACATTAAAATTTATAGTTTACATACGAAGCAGAAGTAGAACGGCGGTAAAATGATATGTCTAATCTATACAAAATAAATAATAGTAATATTTTAGACTTCATTATTCTAAGTTATAAGAATTTTATAATTGTAACTGTTAAAAATAAAAAATCCGGATTACCGTAGTGGCCAAATGAATAATACCACCGAACATAGTTTTCTTCACGTCAGTAACACCTAAATAGGGGCCATTTTCCCATAAAAGACCTACCGTGAGGAATTCCTCCTCAGTAGATTGCCCATGTGTTGCGTTGCCGTATACGAATAAAACCAAACCCCACGTGAACTAAGAGAACCTTTTAAGCAAACCCATTATGATTAGATCATGCCCCCAATGGGGCTGCCGGATGATGAAGGATAGAACCCGACATATCCGGACAAACCACCCCAGAAAAATGCCTGTTTTTTCGACCGGTTCGGATTCGATTACGGTCCTCCAGAGAAGTAGGCTGACACTTTAACTGTTCGGCCATCTAAATGTTAATGCAATCAATAAAAACAAGTTTTATTTTATGTTATAAATAGACTTATTTTATAGGTCCTCCAATATATTATAACCAAGTTGTGGGTCAATAAGTACACGAGTCTTTTAAAAATAATCCAAGTTTAATCATTTTTTAGATTTTTTTCGGTTTGTGGGATAATTGTTACCCTATTTATGGAAAATATACATTTAAATTTCTATATGGAAATTTGTGAACATGATTATATGAAAACTACGCGTGCATGTAATTTAATTAAATATAGAACAATTGTTTCTCTATTGTTTTAAAATTAAATTACAGTAATTGTAATTAATAATAGAAGTTATTACACACAATACACACTGACAAGGAAAAAACAAAGTTAAAGTAGACAATTTTCTATTCTTTTCATTGAATATAAGAAGTGAAATTAAATAAATATTTTCATTTTAATAATACAATAATGAAATTTACAATGTCTTCTAATACTGTATTATGAAGTTATAACTATTTTGAATTTCAGAATTTGATTGACGTATACAAAGATTGTAAACAGAAATAAAATTCAATCGATAATTAAGCAACACTTTTAATAAAAATAACTTATTCTGTTTCGCAACTAACCTTTTATATAGTTAAACAGGGTCGTCGAGGTCTTTTATGAAGCTCGGGGGTGAAGCGGGCCCTTTTGTCTCTTGAACAAATGAAATACTTAATGTGTTTCTGTATTAATTAATTAATAAAACGCAGTTTTAGATATTTTATGTTTTTTTTTTTTTTTGCTAGTAAAAATTTTCTCTGTAGCCGGGGAAAAATCTGCTCACCCTTCTCAACGACCCTGAATATACATGCACTCTGTATGATTATAAAACTAAGAAAATAGCTAGTAAGATACTTCAAAGAAATTATAGTTATTCCTGATATTATTTTTATATTGAACATTTTTTTAAAATTTAATTTTAGTTTATATTTAAAGCATGTTTCTCTAGTTAGTGATAGGATTACCACGTGATAATCTTTCTGGTTTTTATCACGTGTTATAAAGCTAAACGAATGCCATAATATATTCCATTAATTATAGTTATTAGATTTACGACACTTCATTATTCTGTGCAACACTTGTTAAATGTATTTATCGAAAAGTACATATTTTATAATTCGCGAATGTTTATGTCAAAACTAATTTGTCAATTTTACACAATTGTGATATATATTAAGGTTTTAACTAATTTTCAAGGCTTTTACAGCGACAGAGTTAGAACATTTACCACAACTATAATTGCAAATTAAATCAATTAATGTTCTATCTTTTGTAACTGTCATTACCAATCATTTAATTGGATGCACTGTTATTAAGTCAAATCACTGTCATAAAGGACATTGAAATATATTAATGTTGATTAGTACAGTATTTCAATTCTTGTGTAAAGAAAGAAGACCAAAGATAGATGAGATTACTTATTTGGTTAACATTATAGACAATCAGTACTGTAATTCATACAGGCTACTCACTTGTCAGTATAGTGGGTGTTGGTAGAAAATTTTTCAGGAGGTAAAGATTAGAGACAAAATTAAATAAAAATCTGCGTCAATAGATTTTTACTTAATTTTTTTTTCAAAGACAGACAAAGCATTCCCAAGGTCGAGTGTGTATGGTTTTATATCTCAATCACTTTTACTATTATAATTTCTGGAATGTTTTACTTGATCTTGTTTGCCTCCTCTGTGGAAGTTCATGCGCAGTATATTACTCAACGTAAACTGTAGAGTTTATATAAGATACATAGAAATTCTATATTTTATATAACTTACAAGTATACTATATATATATACATGGGAATATTTTATATGGAATAATGAGTTTATGTGTAAATGTTTTATATATATATCTTATATATTTTTGTTTGTATGTGTGTGTGTGTGTGTGTATGAGTGATGTGTGTATATATATATATATAAATATACACACCCACATAGCAGATACATTGTATTGTAGATTCAAAATATGAAAGGATAAAAATTAAATTCATTAGATAATGACACTAGAAATTGTTTCTTCTTATTAATGGTATTCTTTGGTATTAATAAGAAAAGCTTAAACAAAGTGATCATTTAGTTCGTTTTTATTCTCTGAGATATATATATACTGTAGAATAAATTAAATTATGTTGTTGTTAAATTCTTAATATATTCTGTTGAATATTTTTGATAAATTACTTCCATTTCAGTTAACTTCTTAAAATTGTTGATTTAAGTTTAAAATATTAACAAGTTTTAATTAGCAAACTTTTAATTAAATTTGATGTATTAGTCATATTAACTTTATTATCTGTTAATTGTACATAAAATTTAAATAAAAGAACTAAATTATAGTAAATTGCTTGCAGGTGAAAACAATGAAACAACTCAACTTCCACAACTTCCAGAAAACCATTGCACAACTCCGTATACTAGTGGAGATAGTCTTCTTTTGCCGTCTTCAGTTTTTACGATACATCAGTCCACCGATCATCTTTCCTCGTCTCTTCCAGCTAGTGAAGTTTTATTTAATCATCAATCTTACCAATATCTGCCACAACCAACGAGGAATGCCAGTGCGGTTTTTTCAGGAACAAGAACTGGAAGTATACAAAGTAAAAGCAGTGAAAGCAAACCTTTATCAACTGCTTGGCAAACTGCTCTTGGTGCCGCAACAACTCAGACTGCAATGAATAGAGATAGAAAAAGGCCTGTTAGGAAAGGACCAAAAATAGCTGAAAGGCCAATAAGAGCATTGTTTTGTCTGACTTTAAAGAATCCATTAAGAAAACTTTGTATTGACATTGTAGAATGGAAATATCCTTTTCATATCAAAAGTTCTACTATAAATTTCTAGTTTTATAAAACAAAATGTTATTGATAAAAATATTTTAAGATTACAAGGAAATTATAAACAAGTGATTAAATTATAACTGTTATAAATACGATCAAATATTTTTCAGTATAAGCTTTCTGAATTTAGTTTATTTATAAATTTATTATTTGGAATTATATATAAATAACATAAATATAAATTATATTTATAAATTTATATGTAAATAAGTAATATACATATAAATAATTTCATTTGTTTATTATTATTACTGTATATAGAAATAAGAATTACAATTCTGAGGAAAAAAATTATTATAAGAATTTATTACCAAACTCAATTTTAATATACAAATACCTAATTTTTTAAGCTAATAACTAATGAAATAAACCAAACTTTTTAGGTTGCATTACTTGGTTTGTTTAAGAGTATGCATATCAAAACATCAAGATCTAACGTTTAAATCTAATGTTTTTGATCTATTTAATAGATTATCTTCAGGATACAATTGAAAAGAACAAAAAAAAACATTAAATATAAAACATTTGGAACATATGAATGCAAATTAATAATTGTCATAAATTGAATAAAATAACTGAATAGTTACAAGGGATAATAAAATAAACAAATAAATGTTAAAATGTTTCAAAGATACAAATAACATAATAATATAATGAACAAAAATAATCCATATGATTACAGGAGTATGATAAAGGCTATAAAGAATTAATCAATACAAACCTTCAAGGTAAGAGAAGAAAATCAGCATTTTCAGCATTTAAACAGTTTCTTAAACTTTTCTTTATATACAGAATGTGCCATGAATAATTGTCCATAGGAGATGGGAAGTTCATAGCTTTTGTGAGCAGAGCACGAGTTAAGTTTTGTTGCATGAATAGAAAAAATGTTTTGGTTAATTTTGTAATGCCAGAATTTAGTGATGATTATTGAGAAAGTGAAACCAAATTAAAGGGTAATACAAATGAAAAGAATTTAATACATTTGAGTACAGATTACAGGCTTAAATTTTGTTACAATTTATTTTTAAACCGGTGTCCATTCTCAGTGAGGCAGTAGCTTTATTACTATCTTGATGAGAATGGTCACTAGTTTGAACATAACATGTAATGAAATTTAAACCTGTAACCTTTCTCTACCATATGAAATTTTTGTCATTTGTTACCCTTTAATTACTCTTTAATTTGGTTACACCTTCTCAATTGTCAACACTAAATTCTGGCATTAATGAGTTAACTGAAACATTTTTTCTATTCATGCAACAAAAGCCATTCCCTGCTTACATATGGTGTGAACTTCCAGCATTGCTCTCCTACAGATAGTGTAGTTATTTGTGGTGCACCCTGTATATCCATCTTAATTATATTCATATACTTAAAAATAAATTTGAAATAGTATCCTCAGATTAATGTTTTATTTTATTTTATTTCTCTCAGATTGTCTTTTTTTTTTTTTTTTTTTTTTTTTGATTTTNTTAATAAATAAAATGTTGTTCCATTGCTGGATTGATTATTATTAAATAAAAAATTAATTTTTTTCTTATATTTTTTTCTTAAATCACGTGGCACGTTTTTAATTTTGGTAAAATAATTCACATAAGTTGAATGTAAGAAAATAACAGAAGAAAAAGTTTAAATTAAAATTTAATATTGAAAAAAACATTCTCTCTTCTATGATATTTATTACCTGAGAAAAACTGACAAATCTCCCGTTTTTTTTTTTTTTTTTTTTTTGACAAAATTATAATCAAGACTATAGATGGAAAATCATTTTTAACTAGATTGGAACCATTAATATGTACTATGACTTTATACGAGATCTGTTCAAAAAATACGCGGACTGTTTGAATTGTGTGGCTCCAGTTGGTTCCAGGGGAATCAGCTTGGTGTCACTAGGTTTGTATAGATCATCTGGTAATAAAGCCATTTCCTGATTACAGATATCTTTATTTGTTGATTAGCTGTGTGGTTTTTAGTGAAGTGCGATTTTTTTCGTTTGTTGGATTTTAGAATGAATGACCTGATGGAGCAACAACTTGCTGTGAAATTTTGTGTTAAACTTGGAAAATCTGCAACTGGAATATTTGCTATGCTCAACCAGTGGGTGGATGAAACGTCCCCAGACCAAAAAAATCTCACCAAGTTCGATTCAATGTCAAGGTGATGCTGACAGTTTTCTTTGATGCTAAGGGTGTTGTTCACCACAAGTACCTCCCCCAAGGCTCCACAGTGAACCAGACTTACTACATTGAAGTTCTGAAATGTCTGAGGGACTCCATTTGTCACAAAAGGCCAGAAATGTGGAGGAGTGGCAATTGGTTTCTCCATCACGACAATGCTCCAGTCCATTCAGCCCTCAAAACTCATGAGTTTTTGGCCAAACACTTGCCCACCCCCTACTCACCTGACCTCGCTCCTTGTGACTTTTTCTTGTTCCCTAAACTCAAAAGACTCTTGAAAGGAAGAAGATTTTAGATGATTTCCAAGATTAAGGCAAATGAGATGAAGGGTCTGAAAGATATTACAAAAGAAGCATACCAGGACTGTTTCAACAAGTGAAAACACCGTTGGGATAAGTGTGTGCGTTGGGAAGGAGAGTACTTTGAAGGGGACCCAGACATGTAACTTCTACATAAAGCACATTTTGTTTTATGACGTCAGTCCGTGTATTTTTTGAACAGACCTCGTATACAGTAAAACCTCACTTATTGGTCACCTTTCAGGTATACAATTTCTAACCATATAATTGACGTGGTCACCTAGGTGAGGTTATAAAAATTGACATACCAGAACTGTAATTAGCATACTTAATACTGATTATAAAATTTTAGTACTGATTATAAAAGTAAACAAAAATAGTTATAATAATTTCATCAGGCTTGTTCATATTTTTCTTTATTGAGTATTGCAAGTGACATATTAGTGATATAAATGGATCATCACTGATTTACATAGTTATATGTTTACAAAATACAATCAGATTTTGTATAAAATTTTTAAACAAATATGTAATTGTTTTTCTTCTTACTAAATTATGGAGATTAATTTGTCAAGTGTAAATGAAGATTTATTTTATTTAATCATCTGTTGAAAGAATCTCAACAAACTGTTTCAAAACTATAGTAACAATGCACAACTAGATTTGATCCCAGGTACTCCAGAGTAGTAGACTGCCAACTTAGCTGTCCAGCCATCTGTTGTCATATGAAGGTTATGTTCTGCAAAACTGCTGTGAATGTGGAAACTACAAATACAGAAAGGAAAAAATATTGGTTAAGTAGGGTTAAGGATTTGAAAAAAAAACATGTAATTAGAAGACAGGTCCATATGTTAATAAAAAGAAATTTGTGGTTTATTTTATTTCAAACCAAAAAATAAAAATGATTATTATAGTTTGCATAATCTTATTACTACTAAGAAAATTTTAAATTTTCATCTGCTTTGTCTTTGTCTGGAAACCATGCAATAGTTCTCAGTAATATGAAATAAATTCCTTAATTTTTCTCTTAAATTTAAGACTCATCTAAATTCATTACATTATGCAGAGCATTCCATTTGTTAAAATATTAAAGTTATATTCAGAAGTGTAATGACTAAACATAATTGATCTCTACTAGTACTTATAGTAAAATAATCAAACAAATGCTTTTCATGGATAATAAGATTATTCAAAGGGCATTCTCCTGTGACTGAATTTTAATCTAAATGCTTAAGACTTTTTTTTAGTTTTTTGATGGTCTGATACCTGATGATGATATTGTCGGGTTATTTTCCTTAATATATTTTATGGTAGATTTATTTTCATCAACGAGCTATGTAGGCAACCATAGCTGCTGATTCTCCTTCCTGAAAATAACTTACCATGCCAATTTTGTCTTTATGGAACATAACTTTATTTTGATATTTTGCCATTAAGTATTGTTATTTAGATGATATATTTTTTATCCTTACAAATCGATACACTAAAATTTATTTATAGAATACAATACTGACAATCCCAATGCACACTAAACTAAAATATAACATTTACTATATTTGCACAGATTAAGAGATATCCACTAGTGCTGTCTAATGGTGAACAATTTAAATTTCAGCAGAATAAGTTTAAGAAAAAATTATTTTATTGTATGTTTGTTTGTTATTTCATTATTTCTGTTAATCTCTGTAAAATATGTAAATTTTAGCTTTGTGAATATGGAAATGGTTGCAAATAGCAAACTGAATGTGTAAAATAAGTATTTTAAGAATGCACAAATGCTGCTTTTACTGTATTGAGATATCTTTCAAATTATTTATAAATGAAAATCTTATGCATTTGAAAATAATATTCTAATAATTCATATCTTGCTGTTATCAATAAAATTTGACAGTAGCAAGACATGCAATGTTTCTGGAGATTATTTGAGATATCTTTAACTGATTTTATACTAAGAAAATATATTAGATATTGACATGAAATATATGTTAACTGCACTGGCATAGATTCAGATATAATGATGTTGTTATAATCTGCACATCAATCAAGAACCTGTAGAAAATATGGAGAGAAATCATTCTCTCCATATTTTCATTCAATTATGCAAAATTTCATATTTTTACTTGTTATTTACAGTTTTACATTTATTGCTTAAAATTTGAGAGATAGTATCATTGATTAACAAGAAATTTCAAAGTTAAATTAGCAATAACATTTATTATTTTTAAGAGCTGTATTTGTTTTCATTCAAGTAATTTATTACAATATATTTTAATGTAGATAAAAGTTTTTCTTTTAACAAATATTTAATAATTCAATAAAATATTGTAATAATTTATTATTAAAGTAATAAGAAAAGGACACTTACATAAACAAATCCTTCTATTCATTAAATAAATAGAAATTGTTTAAAGGCTACTGTTTATATATATTTAGAATAATAATTTAATGTAAATAACTTATAAAATTGATTAATTTATTCTGTTAAGAA